AAAAAAAAAAAAAACCAACTCATGGGTTAAAAGAAAATTAGACACAGTGAAAAGGAAATTAGTGAGCTAAAAGATATATCCAAATAAGGATAATAGGATACACCGCAGAGAGACAAGGAGAAGAAAAATGCAAGAGATGTTGAAAGATTCAGAGTAGGGGTTGGCAAACTCTGGCCCACATGCCAAATCAGGCTTGCTGCCTGTTTTTGTAAAGTTTTATTGAAACACAGCCACATCTTTTTGTTTACATAATGTCTATGGCTGCTTTTGTATTGTGATGACAGGGTTCAGCTGCAACAAGACTGCATGACCCTTGAAACCTAAAATACTATCTAACCTCCTACTGAGGAAGTGTCAAAGTTTGCCACGCCTTTCTACAGGACAGAGTGAAAAGATCTTACATCTAATCAGTCCTTAGAACCTGCCATGAGAACAAGGAGAGTCAGTATTTGAGAAGACAATCATTGTGATTTTCTTAAAGTTAAGAAAATCCTTTTATCCCAAACAAATTCATACCTAAGACATTTTTCATGTCTTATACAACACAACAAACAAGGAAAATTTGTAAGCAGCCAGGGAAAAGGAGCTATAAAGGGGCTTATTTTTATTTAAAAAAATGTAAGAATGAGTTATCAGCAATAATGAACACCAGAAAATAGTGGAATTAATCTTTTTAAAAAATTGAGAGAGGGCAGCGTCTGTGGCTCAAAGGAGTAGGGGGCTGCTGGCCCCATATACCAGAGGTGATGGGTTCAAACCCGGCCCTGGCCAAAAAACGGCAACAACAAAAAAAACTGGAGGGCAGTTGGGCGGTGCCTGTGGCTCACAGGAGTAGGGCACTTACCTCATATGCTGGAGGTGGCAGGTTCAAACCCAGCCCCGGCTAAAAACTGCAAAAAAATTTTTTGAGAGAAAAGCTGTCAGCTTACCAGCCTGAGTAACAGCAAGATCCCATCTCTACTAAAAATTAAAAAAAAACCAGGCAACAGGATCACTTGAGCCCCAAAATTTGAGGTTGCTATGAGCTATGATGCCATAGCACTCTAGTCAGGGCACCAGAGTGAGACTCTTGTCTCAAAAAAAAAAAAAGTGCTATCAGCTTGAAATATAGAGAAATTCTGGAGGTCTGTGATTTTTCTAGTATTAAGCATGCCTGTGTTAATCTCACAATCATTTTCTCTTTGTGTATCTATGTACAGCTCTTCTCTGCAGCTGACATTGTCTCCTAACACTGTCCTAACACTAGTTAGGATACAACTAGTTACCAGTGACTGAATGTATCTTCATCAGGGCTACTTCTGTGTTTTCATTAACAAAGTTCATACAGATGTTAGCATATCGTTTTTTTGTGCTCTACCTTTGTCTGAAATTCTTGTCACAGGAGAGTGTGCTGATGGGAATTCTAAGTTTGTTTCGTTTAATTTTTTTGTGCATGGGAGAAAAAACTGCATTTCATTGCTGGCTGAAGGTTTCTTTCAGATTTACATTCATAGTTCTGTGTATATATGACATGAAGAATGATCTGAACTAATTATTCTGTTTTTGTCTTTATCTTCCAGTTTTTGATTAAGTAAAAAGGAAACTTGGGATGGGGGGAGCCACTTTGAGATTCTGAACCTGGCAAAGCTATGGAAAGGAGGGTGAAATTAAAAGGTAGTTTAACACAAAATGTTTTCTTCTAAAGGAAATGTATAAGAAATATTTTATTTTCATGGACAGTAAAGCATTTTGGGTCTAGAACATGTGGTCTTTACAATCCATACAGCACAAGAAGATAGAGGATCTCACAGAATATATATATATGTATTTTTTTTTCATTTCAGGTTAATGTGAGGTTATAAATAACCAGGTCACAATATTTGAATTTGTTAGGTAGAGTCCATCTTGTAGTTGTGTCTCACACCCAAAAGGGTGCCATACGCCCTAAATTGTGCCCATTAGGTGGGAGTACAACCATCCCCCCATTCTTTCCCCCTCCCCTGTTCTCCCTCCCTCCAACTCAAATTGAATTGACTTTTGCTCCTATGTGGCGTGTATTAGATCATCTACTCTTTTCATATTAGTACTGAGTATGCTGGATATTTGCTTTTCCCTTCTTGTGATACTTTACTAAGAAGAATGTCCTTCAACTCCATCCAGGTTAATACAAAAAATGTAATGTCACCATCTTTTTTATGGCCGAATAGTATCCCATTGTATACGTATACCATAGTTTGTTAATCCACTCCTGAGTTGATGGTCATTTAGGTTGTTTCCATATCTTGGTGACTATTTGTGAATTGAGCTATGATAAACAATCTGGTGCAAATGTCTTTATGATGAAATGATTTTTTTTCTTCTAGGTAGTGAGATTGATGGTCTTCCATTCAATGAATAGTAAATTGAATAGTAAATATATTTACTCTTCCTTTTTTTTTTTTTTTTTTGAGACAGAGTCTCACCTTGTCACCCTTGGTAGAATGCTGGCATCATAGCTCACAGCAACCTCAATCTCTTGGGCTCAAGTGATTCACTTGCCTTAGCCTCCCAAGTAGCTGGGACTATAGCCGCTGGCCACAATGCCTGGCTATTTTTAGAGGCCTGCCTTGGCCTCCCAGAGTGCTGGGATTACAGGTGTGAGCCACTGTAAATTAATTCTTAATTTCTTAGTATTTTCTTTTCTTTGGCTTTGTTGTACAGTACGTACTTTACATAACATACAAAATATGTGTTAATCAGCTGTTTCAATCAATAGTAGGCTACTAGTAAAGTTTTAGGGAAGTCGAAATTAGATAAGGATTTCTGACAGCAAGAGGAATGAGCACCCATAACCCCTGCATTGTGCAAGGGTCAAATGTATGCACCCATGGCTGAAGTAAATTCAAAACTGTACAGCTACTCTGCCTATCATGGGCAATATATAGAAATACAGTATATAGAAAAAAACTGTACAGTCACTTTGTAAACCAGTTTGACTGTTTCTCCTAAAGTTAACATACACTTAACCACCCAGCAATCTTCTAGGTATTTATCCGAGTGAAATAAAAGTATGTTTTTATACAAAGAACTTTATGGAAATATCTATAGGATGGATTTATAGCATAGAACATCGTATTTCATAACTGCCAAACATTTGGAAAAAACATGTGTCCCTTAATTGGGGAACTGATAGACAATGGTCGTAATCCAACGAACTAATAATCAGTAATAAAAAAAGAAATAGTATATGTAACAGCATAGTTGAATCTCAAAACAAAAGGTTACATACCACATGAATTCATGTGCACAAAATTCTTGCAAAAAAACCGAACAAACTATGAACTAAAGTAAAATTTTAAGCCCCCCAGGGGTGTGAATGGACCAACCTGCTCTTGGCACATGGGTCCCCAGACATCCCTCTAAAGCTGACTTTCTGGCCAGGAAAAGGAAGGTCTGACACGCCTCTCTATGAGCCCTCCCCTCTTGGAGATACCTGTAACACAATCATTAACAGGTCTGACGCTAGCTATACAAGACAGTTTAAACCACACATCACTAGAGTTTTAGTAAATGTCCAGTGGCTTGTCTCTGCTTAACAGATATCCTTATTTTAAGCCAAAACATTCCAAGTCTTTCAAAATTTCATTTCTTTAACCAATTACAAAATAATCTTTTAAACCCACCTATTAACCTGCAGTTCCCCACCCCCTTTGAGATGTCTGGCCTTTGGGGGCCAAACCAACCTAGGCCCGCTGCTGACTTAGGGTCTTAAGTGTAATTCCTGTCTCCGCCAAGGCATAAACCAAACTTTGCCACCCAGCTACCGAAGACATATTTTCTCAGGACCTCTCGAGGCCATGTCCTCCAGGCGAGCCACACACATTCGGCTCAGAATAAACCTCTTTAAATTATTTTACAGAGTTTGGGGTTTTGTCCCCACCCCCACCCCACCCCCACCCCCCTTAACAAAACTTTATAAAGAGTCAGAAAACAGACCAGTGGTTGCCAGGGGCTTGACTTTAGAACCAGAGGCCTACTTACCATTTTCTAGCTGGGCCAATAATGACTTTGAACCTCGCCGGAGAATACCAACACCTTTAGGAGACTGTCAGGAATCAAGTCAAAATGTCTTTACCATGAAAATCCTTGACTGCTCCCTCACGCCCCACGCCCCACTCATTACTCTTTGATCCAGAAAAATGCCTGATGAAATTCCAACAGCTCCTTGGACAACTGAGGACCGGGACACCGGGCAGCACGAGAGCAGCGTGTCCTTCCGTGGTACCCAATGGGCTTCGGGAAACTTTCGCCTTCATTTCCCCCACACTTCTGCGATTTTAAGATGGGATGTCACTCTGCGGGAAAGGGCCGCGGCCTCCACCCTGCTCTCGCCCGAGCGGGCCCCGCAGCCCGGGCCGCCCCCGCGGCCGCACA